TTGCGCTTGATCGCCCTGAGCACTGGCTCGCTCAGGCCGAGCGTGTCTGCGGCGGAACGCAGAGGCACAAGAGGGGGTGCGGGTGGGCGGGTGGGCGGCATGGGGGCCGGGCTGGTGGGCGCGGCGCGGCAGCAGACATGGCACAGCTCCGCCGATCGCTGGTAATGGATATGGGGTGTGCCCATCCCTGCCGGGGGCTGCCACATGCCGCTGCACGTGCTGCCTGCCGCCGGCGGCGGTGCCGCCGCCGCTCACCAAAGCTGCCGGGCTTGACCTTCCTCTGCAGCTTCTTGCGACGCCCGGTGAGCTTCTTGTTCTTGTCCTCGTCGTCGTCCGCCCATCCGAAGTCCACAAAGTCTAAAGGCTTCGAGGTGGGGAAGCCGCCGGGCCCCGCATCGGCAAACAGGTCCTTTTCGTCCAACATGCTGCCTGCCTGCAGCTACTGCTGCCTGTCTAACTCTCTCTAGCGCGCCAAGGCCGCCCCGTCGCTGCGCTTGGCACGGCTCAAGGCTGCATGCACCACGAGAGCCTCGTTGCCTGCTCCAAATAACTCTCGGAGGAGCCAGCAAAGTGTTGCATATGTCGCATGTCTGCAATGGTGCCGTTCTGGCTGCAGCTGGCATCCTCGCTGGCGGCGCCGCCGACGGGGCGCCGAAGTTGCGACCGAGGCTGAATGCGCTCGAGGCTGGGAGCTCCATGTCGCGTAGCTGGTCTGTAGTACATGGTTGGAATGGGTCGTCGAGCTGTCACCGATAGAATGCGAGGATCTCTGCCGCACGGCCTTTGCCGCCGCCGCCCGCCTCGCTGGCACTTCAGTGCACTGCAGTGGATGCCTGCCGCGGAGACTCCAATGGCGCCTGGATCTCCTCTCTCCTTCTGATCACGCATTTATTCTGATGCCGTCAAGCTCCTACTGAGCACGCTCTCGGGGTGGTGATTGCCCGCCGCATTCAGGGCTTCTGCCTCGTCGAGACACGCACCCGCGAAATCCCTGCTACAACCAGAGAGCGCTCCCGCGCAGCGCCCACTGGCTGATGGCTGATGGCGGCGGCGGCCTCCCCCTGGCGTCACAGGCGGCCGCCCGGCAAGCCTGGTTTGGCTGCCGGGGCGCCCAGCCTGGGCTTTATAGTGCTGGCTGTGGGCGTGCTGGTGCTGCTGGCCATACTGGCTGGCACCACCAACCTGCAGCTGGGAGCAAGCATCAGCAGCCAGGCCGGCACCGCGGGGCCGGCGCCGCCGCTGCGGCCGGTAGGCGGCAGCACCGGCAGCGCCGATGGCAGCAGCAGTGTGGCGGAAGAAGGCGGTGCCGACGGCAGGGGCAAGGCAGCCTCGGACGGCAGTAGCAGCAGCAGCAGCACTGGAAGCACGGCGCGGTCGGATGGCGGCAAAGAGGGGTCGCGCGAGACTGGCGCCGCGCCAGCCGGGGACCAGGCAGCTGGTTCCAATCCCGAAAAGAATGGGAACAGAGCAGCAGACAGCAGCAGCAGCAGTAGTACCACCAGCGACAGCAGCAAACCGAAAAGCGGCAAGAGCGGCAAGGCAAGCCCGACTAGGACTGGCGCGGGGCCCGCCGCGGGCACCTCTTTCAAGCCGGGTGTGCCAGGCAACCGCAGCAGCACCGAAGCGACGTGCAGCGAGGTGGGAGCCTGCCTCCAGGCTTATGGGCTGGCTGAAGAGGTCCCGGTGCCGCTGCTGCTGAGCAAAGCTGCCATGCGTCGCCTGCACGCCCTCCGCTGCGCGTTGCCGTCGGGAGGGACAAGCTCAAGTCTTAGACAATGTTGGTGCGTCACGCTGCCGCCCCGTCCCAATCCCTTCAGGCCCTGGGCATCAAGAAGGTGGCTCTCCTGTTCCTCACCACCCGGCGGCTGGCGCACGAGAAGCTGTGGCGGCTGTGGATGTGGGATGCCGCCAACCTGGTGCCGCAGCAGGCGGTGCAGGGCCTGCAGCAGGCGGTGTGCGGCGGGGCGCCGGCCGAAGCAGACGCCCGCTGGCGCGCGGTGCGGGCCGCCTGCGCGCCGCGCGCGCCGGAGGTGGCCAGGACACCCGGCGGGCAGCCGGAGCTGCCGCCCCAGCTGCTGTTCAGCATCTACGTCCACGCGCCGCCAGACTACAAAGGTGGCAGGCTGCGGCGCCGCTTGCTTGCTTGCTGGGCGGGTCGACGGGGCGCTTACATGGCATGCCGCTGCCATGCTCCCCGCTGCATCCCGTGCTATCTGCCCCATGCCCCGCCCGCCCATCCTTGTACCTGGCCACCTGCCCACCCACCACTCGCCTGCCTGCCTGCCTGCCCATGCAGGCCTGGAGTTCCAGCCGCTGTTCCAGCGCCGCGTGCTGCCGCAGCGCCTGCGCACCTGGTGGGGCAGCGCCGCCATCACTGACGCCGAGCGCCTGTTGCTGGCGGCCGCGCTGCGCGACCCAGCCAACGACAAGTGAGCGGCGGGCTGCTGCCGGCGGCTGCGGGGCTGCCTGCGGGGGCGGAGCCTGGCGGCTGCCTGCCCCGCATGACCGCCTTGGCAGCGGGCCATCCCCTGCACCGCTCCCTCTAGCAACCCCCAGGCGTTTCGTACTGCTCACTGTGTTGTTCGGCAGCGTTTCGTACTGCCGCGATGCCGCTTACTTGTACTGTACTACCCTGTACTGCCACCATACTGCAGGTTTGTGCTGGTCAGCGACCACGACATCCCGCTGTACGACCCACTCACAACCTACCAGCAGCTGGCGCACGAGCCGCGCTCCCGCGTGCGCGCCTGCCCCAGCAGCCGCCTGAGCATCGACCGCTGGAAGGATGGGATGGCGGTGAGAGGAGGCCGGGCGCGGGAAGGGCGCCCCTTGGGAGGGAGGGAGGGAGGGAGGCTGGGGTTGAGGGCTCAGCCCGAGCATGTTGGCCCGCGGCAGGAGCAGCAGCAGGGGGGTGAGGCTGGCACAGACGGGGCCGGCCTGGCGGCGGCGAGGCTGCTGTTGCGTCGGGGCTTGCATGTGGCACCCCTGCTGTGCCTCCCGCCGTCATTGGTGTCGCCCGCCGCCTCCTGCCACCCCGCCACCTGCCTGCAGACAACGCGGCTGAAGAAGCACCACTGGCGAAAGAGCAACCAGTGAGCCAGCTGTGTGCCGCTGCAGGCTGCCGCCCCCACCCAGCCCCAGCCTGCTGCTGCCAGGGCTCAGCCCGTGCCCCTCTCCTTTACGCCTCCCCACATGCCTCTGATACCCCTCGCAGGTTCTTTTCGCTGACGAGGGCGCATGCCGAGGCCGTAATGCAGGACAGCGAGGTGTACCGCGCGTGAGTGGCAGTGCAGTGGCCAGTGACAGTACAATTGCGGTACCTTCCTTGCTGAGTGTACGCTTTGTCAGTTCTGTGGAGTCCATACGTCCTGCCTGCTCCCTGCCCGGGACTACCATGCTGCACACATTCAGTGCCTGCCCGCCTGCCCCGCCTTTGCAGTTTCAAGGAGCGCTGCGGCGGCAACTACGGCGGGCAGTGGAAGGAGTGCGTGCCAGGTAGGCGGCAGCTGCGGGTGGGGGCAAGGGCTGGCGTGACGTGGAAGCTCCAAACAGCCATGCTGTTTGTCGTCTCCCCTTGCCAATCGTGCATGCGGTGCTGTCCACACCCCTGGCAAACATGGCCTCGCCGCCGCCGCTCCCCCCACTCTACTCCACATACCCATGCCAACATCGCCCCGCATGCAGACGAGCACTACATCCCCACCCTGCTGGCCGTGCTGGGTCTCGAGAACGAGACGTACTGCGACGGCTGGGGGGTGGCCTACACAGACTGGAGTGCCGGCGGCATGCACCCAAAGAGCTTCAAGTGAGGAGGGGGCACAGTGGCGTGCCAGCGCACTGCTGCCTGCCGCGTCGCATGCCGCAACAGAGGCTGCACCAAAAAAAGCAAGGAAGCCAGCCGTGCATGGGGCCGGGGGTGCTGGGTGTGAGCGCCAGGTGTGCGCTGCCTGGCTGCCTGGCGTGCTCGCAGGCCCAAGGATGTCACGCCGTGGCTGATGAAGAAGATGAGGTGGTGGTGCGTCAATGGCAAGGAGGCCGCAGAGGGTGAGGGGTGGTGTGCTGCTGTTGACCCTGGCTGGCGCTGGAGGGTCAAGTGGGGTTGTGCAGGCACCCGCTGCCTCCAGACAGAGGTCTTGTCCTCCCGCCGCCTTGCAGATGCCGAGCGAATGTTTGTGCCGGTCAACAGGCTGCTGGCCGGCGGCGACGCGCAGCAGGCGTGCGCCCTGCTCCGGGACGTGAACGCCGGGGCAGGCGGCGGCAGCAGCAACAGCAGCAACAGCAGCAGCGGATATGCGCACCCCTTGGCTGGCTCCTGCCCGCTGACGGGTGCGCCCTGCGGCAGGCTCGCTGCCGCTGCTTTGTTTGTTCGGGCGCGGCTCCTCACCCCAGCTGGGCCCCGAATCTTGGCTGCTTCTTGTCTTCGTGTGCTCGCGTCCCCCTTCTGGTGCTCACGTGCCGCGCCGTGCTGCCCTGCCATGTTCCCTCTGCAGCCCGCAAGTTCCCGCCATACACCTCTCTGCGCGTGCGCCAGCTCTTTCTCTCCTCCTGCCCCCCGGGCACCGGCCAGATCGCGAGCAAGGCGGCGCTGACCTTTGGGCTCAGGCGGGACCCAGACCTGGCGCTGTTCAGGGGGCAGGCATGCACCACGGGAGTGCAGAAGGTGTCGCTGGCCAAGACGAGCGGGTCAGGCAGGCGGCTGCTGTGCGCGCTGTGGTCGACCTCGGCGCCGTGGCTGCCCGCCGCCGGAAACGATTTTGCGCCGAGCAGGTTGTACGACCGATTAGACGCCTTGTGTGACGACACTGGGTGAACAATAGCCGCACATGGAGGTCAGCTCTGCCAGGCAACAGTAGACTCAGCAACCCAACTGCACGCGCTCCCTCACAGCCTGATGTGTTGTGTGTTACCGAGTTTGCCAGCCCAGGCACAACAAGTCAGGCCAGCTGCGACGCCAGCTGCGAGCCGGCCGCCTGCAGCTGCCGCAGCTGCGCCAGCCGCTGCGCAGCGGCAGCGCTCGACCCCCGCCGCTGCTGCTGCTGTTGCCGCTGCTGCTGCTTCTCGGCCTCCTGCTGCCGGGCAACAACTAGCGCCGAGCTGGCAGCCCCTGGGCTCACTGCTGCCATCAAGCCACGCAAGTCGGCAGCTGCAAAGGTGCACTTGGTTGCGGTAGCTTGCTCCTGCAGCAGCTCTGCCGCTGCCGCCTGCAGCCGAGCCATGCGCGACAAAAGGCCCTCGGCCGCTGCTCGGTCTGCGACTGCCGCTGGGCGCTGCCGCTGCGCCGCGGCGCCGCCGGGCCCGGCGGCTGCCGGCAGCGGCGGCAGGGTCACCGTCAGCTCTGGCGCCACCGCCTGCAGCTGCCGCCGCAGCTGAGCAGGGTCCCCTGCAGAAGAGCGGGAGCAGCACCACAAGCCGGCCGCTCAGGGCTCGAGAAGCGGGCAGGCGTGGCCATGGTGTCATTGATGCGAGCTGCAACGGCTGGCGGGGCGAGCAGGCAGCATGGAAGCGGGCGCCACAGCATTCCAGCACCCAGCTAGCGGCTCCTACCTGCCAACTCTGCCCCAGGACCCGCGCCCGGCTGCGGCGTCGCGGCTGCGGTCGACGCCGCTGCGGCGCCGGGCGCTGCCTGCGGTGTTGCCGCCTCCGGCTGCCGGCTCCTGCCCTCCTGCCGGCCACCACCCGGCGTCCTGCGCACTGTCCGCAACAGGCCGGCGCCCTGGGCTGCACCGGGCGCCGCCGCTGGCGGCAGCATGGGTGACCAGAGGGCCTGCTGCTGCTGCTGCTGAGGCTGGGACTCCAGCAACCGCTGCTGCTCGCCGCGGGGGGCAGGCGTTGCAGCGGCGGCCATGCGCTGAGCGGCGGCGCCTTCCGCGGGCGGCCCTGCAGCCCCTCCTGCCGCCGCCGCTCGCGGCGTGCCCAGCGGCGTGCTCGGCAGGCTGAACAGGCCTGCAAGGCAACGTTGTGGCACCAGTCGAACATCAGGACACACAACCCAGCAGGCCTTCCAAGGCTGTTGTGCAGTGGTGCACACCAGGGAGAAAAGCAGCCCAGCAACAGTACAGGCGGCCGCAGCTTGGCGCTCACCCCTGCTGCGCAGCGTAAGGCCTGGCGTGGCGGTTGCGGCGGCCGCAGCCAGGCTGCTCCCCAGCTGAAGCTGCCCCAGCGCATCCTCTAGCGACGCGGCGGGCGGCGGCGGCGCCTGCTGCTGCTGCTGGCGCTGCAGCAGCGGCCGGTGCCGCTGCGTGGCGTTGCCGGCGGCAGCGAGGCCCGCGGGGGTGGCACCCAGGGCCGGCATGGCGGCACCCTGCCGGTGCAGGAGCAGCTGCTGTGCCTGCTGCTTGAAAGAGCTTCTGAGCTGCGATTGGATGCCGATGCTGCCGCCGCTTTGTGGAGGCGTGGCCGCCGTCGCTGCTGCTGCTGCAGATGCTGCCGAGGCAGAAAACCTGCCCATGGGTGTTGTCAGGGCGGGCACACCACTCCTGCCGCCGGGCCGCGGTGCTGCTGCTGGTGACTGCATGGCTGCTGCTGCCGCCGCCACCGCCGCACGCTGCTTGCTGGCTGCCATTTCCTGCAGCGCCGCTGCTGGGCCCTCGTCCACGGCAAATACAGGCTCGGCGGCGCCGGTGAAGCGAGTGGTGACGCGGGCGGCGCCAAGCTGAGCCGCCGCCGGCAGGTCGCCGTCACTGCCTGCCTGGCCCCGCACAGCGCTGTCGGCGGTTGATTGCAGAGCGCTGCTGGCTCCTGGGCTGCCGGGGCCCAGCCGAAAGGGCCTGCCAGTGCTGCTGGGCGAGGACACTCCCAGCGGCTCGCCACCCCGCGGCAGCGCGGCGTCGATGCTGGTAATGCTTGAAGGCGCTGCGCGGCGTTCGCTGCCCGGCAGGCGTTGGGAGACGCCATCAACAGGTGTTGCAGCGGCTTTGTGTAGGTGCTTCGCAAGCGGGCTGTGAAAGCTGAAGTGGGTCGCCATGATTGCAGCAAAGCTGGTCGGGAGGTCTGCACCTGTCGCATTGTGCGGCCCCGCCGCCGCCGCCCTGTACTGCCGGCGGGGCGGGGCGCGGAGGCGCACACTGCTGCTGAACTGCTGCTGCTTCATATTGATTGTGGGATGCCATCGCTGGTACCGGCCAGTTGCAAGGAATGGGCAGATGAAATGATGCAGGGCGCCCCAAACGTCGTTCGATGCCGGCGGTTGCGGCACGACTCTCAAGCGCCGCTTGCTGTCTCGTAGACCTCTTGATGCGACGTGCATCGCCCCT